TTATATATTTGTATATCATATATATATATATGATATACAAATATATAAAATGCTTATAATTTTGTTGACACTGGTTCAAACAATATTTACTAGCGCTTTTGCAGCATAAGCAATGCTTGGTGCGCGATATCCGAAACCATGATTTCGCAGAGTTATTTCCAGCATACGATCGTCAGCCATAAGTCTCGGATCCGCAAAATCATAAAATTTTTTCAACTTTCCATAATAGGGAACAGTAATGCTTTCACCATACAGTTCACACAATATCTCAACCATGTCTAAACTCAGGATAGTTTTTTGCTTAAATTTAAAATAATCATTGTAACAACCATACAGAATATTACGAAAAAATAATACGAAATATTTTAAACCAGTTTAGTTACATTTAATCATTAATAGAAGCGCAACGAACAGAATGCGTAACACATACTTGTAATGCGTTTAATATGGTTATTGGAAGAACAAATAAATGCAAAAACGGTTTCCAATGGATCCTGACAAAGGATTCGAATTCCTTCCAAGTCATTCCGATAACTTTTCATAAGTTCAGCGAAGTGCTCATCATTTTCTGACCAGTATTTATACAAATGATTCAAGTCAACATCAAGCTGGAAAATTAAAAAAAAAACATTATAAAGGAAAAAACCGAGATTTTTGAGTAAAGTAAATTGTTACGACGTTACATACACAGGATGCATTTCGCAATCCAACAAATGTATATCTTGAAGAGAAGTGCAACTGACCTGAAAATAATTCCTGAGAGTATCATGATCATCACCAATAGCTTCAGAAAACTTTCCCAGTACTTCATAATACACTTGCTTATCATTTTCTCGCCGCAGTTTCCAAACACGATGTTGTGCCACTCCAATAAATGTATCATGAATGGAGTTATAGGCGTCATCACTTTCAAGTACTTTCACCCACCTGAAAATTCTCGCTAACGGAATTTACTTCTTAAAAAAAAAGTAAGCACAGACCATCAGAAAAAATGAGTATAATACATAAATTTTTTCTAGTAAAAGAAGTTGCTTTTTAAAATAAATATTTACTTTCCTCCCACTGATTACCTATTTTGTCAGAATATTTTTTTTATGTTGATTCCACTACAGTTCTACATTTGTTAAAAGGAAGATATTTTGCAACAAATAATCTTCAAAAGAATATCCCAAAGAATGTGAGAAACTTATTCCTATTTTGATCTATCGTTCAAACTGTATTGCTCAAAAAACTCTTGGTTGGTGATACCATCTGCTTATCCATTCGTGCAAACTAAACATTTCTAATTCAATCTAACAATGAATGTATGCTAGTTACCGCATTCACTATATAATAATTTAATATGAAGTAATGAAAATCAATATATGATTTTAATGCGTTAAGTGATACCTCCAGCTCATTTTGAAATTCTTCAATAAGTTTAAACAGTACCAAAAATAGAATAATAGATATTACCTAAACGACTGACCACTCAGCAAAACATTTGCAAGATTCAGTTCTTCCTTCACGCAATTCAGCAAAGGCATACTGCGGGCAAACTCTTCTAAATAAAATTTTAATATGGCGAAAATATTTAAAATGAAATAACGAAATAAAACCTAAATTCAAATTCAGCAACAAAACAACTGTGAAGTAATGCATTTTTTTCCAACAAATATTGTATTAGGAGATATTTTTAATTTTTGCTGAATTTCAAACACAATAATTAAAGTTAAGAATATATTTCTTAACAAATTAGCAAGTATAACTTATTTAAGATTAATTATCCTTCAACCTAATTTTTAGTGAACCAGAATATACTTTTTGAAACTTTCTGATTCCAGTCCATAATTTTGCAGTATGTGCTGATGACTTCTTTAAACTTAGTGTTAATTAATTACTCATTACATACTAGCAATAAATATAAAAGTAAGCAGTGGTGATCAAGTTATGGATATATCAAGAGTAGCTCACTGAATAATAAGTGCCTAATAAGTTTTACCTAAGTTTTAAGGTAAGTACTCTGATATTTAAGAAATCGAATATTCATTTAGTATATTCTCTATCAGCACAATATAAAAGTTAGTCGAAGATCCGTCCAACAAAATTTATATTTAGCAACTTTCCCTCAATACTTCAATAACCTCTACATTTAAATAAATGCTATAAAACTGATTGTTGATCCCTACAAAATAAAATATGACAACAAAAAGAATAATATGAAGATGTCTAGCATAGTGGTTTTGGAAACCAGCTTCCAGAATGTTCTTGAGCTTCTTGGGATTTCGCAATTTTTCCCGCAATTTATTTGATTTTCCGCTGCATCATATAAATTTGCTTAAACTGTAACAGCGCTAATTGCGAAAGCGTTTTTCAATTATCAAGTGGGTACACGCGTGCGCACGCACATGTGAGTGAGTAAGCAGTATTGTGTTATGGTTACTAATAAGATACTGTAATAAGTGGGTTTTTTAATGTTGCGTGACAATTTCACGTCAAAAAATAGCCTTATGGGCATAAAATTCTACGGAAAATACTGTAATATTTCGAGATAGATAACAGAAGGAAAGAAGAAGATGTGCAACAATGAGGGGTGCATTCCGGAAGAAGTGCCTTGGTAGAAAAACGTTACCAGTGAAAGTTAGACGGAAACGCAAAATGAAAACACTGGCGCAAAGTACGGATAGTTCTTCTGAGGAATTTGATCCGCAAATGGGTAGGAAACGCAGTTTATGTTCACCTCAGTACAGTGGTGCTGGTTCATATTATGCTTGTAAAGCGTGATATGTGATTATATTGCTTGTAAAGCATGACATATAATAAACTTCGACATGTGAACTTTCGTTTTACGTATGATTAATTTCCTAGTGGCATGAGGAGTAAAGTGGTATTTTTACCTGATATACCTGCGAAATGTTACTCATTAGTAGTGATTATTAGCTTTTATTTAAATTTTTCTGAAAGTGGGATGTCGTTTTGAGAGAAATGTTACTATATTACCTATAATTCGCAAAAACTCCAAACCTTAAATCTGATTGCTTAGTTACATCAGCATTTGCACATAAAATCGATGTTCCGGGTAACTGGTAAAAGTATATTATGTTTGTAAAGATTTTTAGCCAGAAAATTTTTGCAGGGAGTTCTCAAAGGATGGGAGGCTTAGATATCTTGATGGATAAGTTGTTGATTACTAATTAGTTTAGGAATAGAATATGCATTGTTCTATTTTAATTCAAATTAGCATCAAGTTTTGCAGAAAGTATCCGGAAGCTATTAAAACACGAACAGTGTGAAGCGCCACCACGCCTAGTAAGTATTCGTCCACTTATTATTATGAATAAATAAACTATAAGAACTGTAAGAAATCAATGTAGTTTGGAGTGAAACGTAGAATTATGGAGAAATGTTGTATTTCCAAATTTAAAAAGTAACGATAACTGGTCATTTATTATTTGAGAATCATGATTACCTAACACATTTAAGTTGTAAGAATGTTGCAGTAGTTGTATAAAATAAAAGAAGCTTCTGACCGTAAGCCGATTTTCAAAATTTTTATGGTCTGTTAAAAAGTCTAACTTGTGTTGTGAGGTACCAGCAGTCAGTGATCTTCCTGGCACTGCCGATGTAGATGAAGATGTGGAAAATAGTACAGATAGGACAAAACCTTTTTTATTGCTTACGAAGAAAATAGAAAGTATTGAAGGGGAGTTATTGGATCGCAAAGATGAGATCCAGCGATTGATAAAAGTAGGAGTTTTATTTCTTTTTGCTAGGTTTGTCTAGGTGAATACATTTCCAATGATAAAAGAAACCATGTCACCTAAATAAGCATGTAAATCGTGGAGTAAAGTATGTAAACAAAATTTGGCAACTGGATTGAAAAAACTATGATGAGAATCTTTTTGGAGTAACTACTCATCTGTATTTTGCTGTATTTTTTGAAAGATATCGTGGATGAGATTTTGCCAGTCAAGCTAATAGCAATATCTGATTGTTTTATTATACATTGAAGTTATAGATCAGTGAACAAGAAATGCCGCAACTGGATAACGAAACTCAGAACACTGCATGTGGTTAGGATTTCATTATTTTAGTTGTCAATTCTTTGTGATTAAAAGTTTTTGTCTTCTTTTTGAAGTCTTTATATTCGATGTAACAAAAGCTATATCCATGGTTTAAACTGTTTTCATATGAAGAAAGTGAAAATTTTTGAAGAAAAACGAGGCTCAGAATTAATGCTGATTATTATAGGGCAGGATAATGGCACTGATCCAGAATCAGTTGCAACATCTTCAGAACACTCAGACGATACACCTCCACGCTTGACTGCTGCGCAAGCTGTAAGCCTATCTTAATTTTACATAAAAGTAGAAATCATACATTATTTTAGTTTGCATAAGATTATATCAATTTTAAGGTGTTAGGTAGAACATAGACATGTTTCAAGTTTTTTAGAAATCCGATAGTTTAAAATTTTGTACTGTTGTATTTTTCTTTTATTCACAATTTATAATTTAGAACACATTTTTATCGACTTTGTTGGATGGAGACGATAGTCGAGGAGAGCACTGTGACGACAATGCTTCGCCACCACCTTTAGACAAATACGCTTCAACATCTTCGCCTTCCGCTACAGTTTCAGTTATGAAAGATTCGACGTCATGGTCTTTACGTTTAAGAAAACGTCAGCATCAATTTCCTTTGCCTACATCTGAAGCTGGTCCTTCAGCTAATAAAAACTGTCTGTCTGAAACCCAGTGGGTGGATAGGTTGGTAGAAGTACTTGAAGATTTCCAGCCCAGTCAATTGCTACTGGCTAGAGAAACTGTTCATTCTACCATGGTTAGAGTGCTAGCCCAGGAAATCACATCTGATTTATCGTGTCTAATGAGCATTATTGAAAGCGAAGACCGACGCGCTGCAGCATTTGAACGAGTTCTTAGTGATCTAAAAAAGTTTAAAGTTAATTCTTCTCAAAATTCTGTTCTTTAATGTCATGCTTTTCTATTTTGTCGTTTTTCGACATTATTAGCAAAATTTTTCTGTCATTAATTTCTTGATGGCAATGTCTTATATAATTATGATGCATTTTATGTCCATTGACATATTAACATATCTCATTCTGCAGTAAGTTATTCTATGGTATTTCCGTTAATACCTTTGTACGATCTGTATTTATGAGTTGTCTCAAGTATCTTGTTTGTGGCAAAAGAAAACCCCTCACAACATTGTGTGCATTTCGTCTTCGTTTGCTGGTATTACGCTGACAACAGTCTCTTGAGTCATTTTGTGGAAATGTGGTTTGTATTAAGTGATGGCATAAATTTCGCTGTAGATATGCATCATTGTAGTCAGGTTTTTTAATTATTTTTTTCGTTCTTGCGTTACTTTCTACTTTAAAGTTTTTGCCATGAACTAGGTTTATGTTCTGTCACGGATCTGTTTAAAAACATTGAAAGTTGTATCATATACAAAAGTTATTCCTGTAGATTTTTCGGTACTAAACGTATAAAAGTGTTGATTTCATTCCAGGGCATTCTGCAGAGAGATTCCATATATTAGGCGTGAAGTCGTAATTTAAAGTTTGGGTTGTTAGAAGTCGAAATCTGCTGAAATAAAAGTAGTTTCATTAGGATGGGAATTTTTTCAGGATTGTGACAGTGAATTGTATTTGTGTCACGCTTATCTTGGGTGAAGTATTTACGTTGCTTTATGGCAGTTCAAGGGATATTTTTAGATATGTTGATGGTGGAGTAGTAGGACTTTCGTGTCATTTATGGGTCCTTTATGCTGGCACTTATCTGTGCAAAAGTGGTGATTTCTTTCAGGTTTTTTCCATATAATTTCAGATGAGAACGCGTTCGATTGCATCGTAGTAGATTTGACGTCCATGGTAATATTAATGATTTGTAATGAAGTTGTCTGCTCGGAAAGTTTTATAGCCAACTCTCTTATGATGAGTACTGTTGCCCAAAGTTCGATACTTAAGGTATTACAAGACAGACTGAGCTCATTTAAGTGATCAATATCTAGGTATAATTAATGTTTTGTTAAGATAGCAACTTTAAAGGAAGTACAGAGCAAAATTTGAACTTTCTAAAATTTGTGATGTCAATTTATGACTGCATTTTTATTTATTACATGAAGTAAAAACCTGCTCATTTTTGCGACCTATTTATTTCTCGCACAAGACGAGAAACGTTACACTTGTTTGCGGCCAACATGTTTCAGAAATGACGATGTCCAAGGTGAGTTTAACTACTAGCTTTATTAAACCTGTATGATATGAAAATAATATAATTTTAATATATTAAATGTTTTGCACTGAATACTAATAAACTTCTCTTGCAATCAGAATTTGCTTTGCGGCCATTCAGTTTGACTGACTTATCATTTGGAATACATGTTCTGATTATGAAGTTGATTAACGAACAAAGAGAATTGTGTTTTGTTTGCAGAGTTTGTACAACGCATGCAAACATTTCTCGAGATCTCTTTGCCAACTGCCTCATTTACAGCAACATACAAGATATAAACATTTGCCAAAGTGTGCACGATTCATCACATATGATAAAAAGAGCAAGTGAGTGTTTAATGATTACATCATCATAATTAGTTTTTGATGAGGATGATTTTGTAGAATATCGTATCAAGTTTATCCAAGTACCCAAATAAGTTCTTTCATGTTAGGATATTTAGATCCGCGTTATGTACGATGTTCGTAATTACGTTGGTTGTATTCCCTGTTTTATTGTCTGAAAAAGCCATATTTATTTCTATACATATTGAGTGTAGTCACGAGCATTAGAGTAAAGCTTTCATAATACGTGTTAAGATATACAGCAGAAATTGGCGTTTTTTAAGACATCCCAACTCTTACATGTAAATATTTGCGTTACAGGAAGTTCTTGGATTTGACTGCAGCAGTGCCTGTGCCGAGCACTGTTTTCATTAGCTCAGTTCAGTTGTATTCCTATAAAGTGCAGTCTTTTGTTCTGTTTGATGCACCATTTATTATACCATCCTCGCATACACAACTGAAAATGGGTCCAGCATTCACAATTCCACAACAGCATACTAACTTTTCACAAGTTAGTTTTGCTTGAGAGGGATTTCTCGTAATGTTCTCGCAATATTTGTTTTTGTATCGCTTAGACAAATAGAAAGGAAGTAGCATGAGAAAATTTAGTTTGATATTGGCAGCAAATCACTATGAAGAAGGTGTCTATAATATGGATCTAGAGAAAGCTTTCTTGGAAATAATCAAAGTTTTAATTTGTAATTAGGATAAAACAAATCAACTTTTTGATTTCGGTTTAAGAAGTTTACTTGAATTATATTGACCAATGATAATCCTCCAACTTTTTAATGCTGGTAGCAGATTATTTTTTCATAATATTTCATGTGCTGCTAAGTCAAACCTTGTTGTACATTTTCTTCTAAATTTCGCACTAATAGCGCATAATGAAATAAACTGTATATCGCTTAATGCTTTTTCATTCATTTAAAATTTTCAGGATGGTTCGATATATACGTCAACAACTAATCCTACTGTGCATTCACTTACAAATAACAGTGTTAATTGATGGTGATGCAACATGATAAGGGACATTTGAATTCGGTTGCACCGATGCCATAAGCAAGCTTTGTATTCAGGTCAGCATTATTCACCAAATTCAAACAGTGCTTGGACAACTTTCAACAAAGGTATTCAAACTCTAGAATTTAACAATTTATAGCTGATTTTTTTCTCCTGCACAATAATGCTGAAAAATATTCAACAAGCATTGATGTTTCACTATGCGAAGTGTTTAATATTCATTTTCCATTCATTTTTTATTTCATTGTGTAGTGTTGTATATACTGTTTTTTTTAACGTTAGTATCAGATTTTTAAAATATGTTTTCATTTTTTTTTGTATATTTTTTCATGTAAAAATGATTGAGGAAATTATTGATTTAGTGTCTTTCAAAACTAAAAGAACATTCATAAGATTTTTATTTTTACTTTCATGGATGCTAAAATATTACTAATGATAGTTTTACTTTTTTTGAGAAATCTCCAATTTCCCCGTGATTTTTCTAGATTTTCCTGTGATAAGAAGCGTATATGTCATCATTTATTGAACGATGTAGTAGTCGTGCATTCCCATCTATTCATCAAAAAATCGCCATATAGTAGTCGTGCATTCCCTTTTTTTTTCATCAAAAAATCGCGTGATTGAACCATGGTTGTTATAAATCGTAACTTGCTGTAAAAATTTCATTTTATCTAAATAATGGATGTAGTTATTATGTTTTATTGGCGGTAACAGTGCAGTGAGAGGTTTTTTTTTCACCAAAATTTTAGTAATTCCTTTATTTATAAAGAATATTTCTTGGAAAATATGAAAGGTGCTCATTATATATAAAGTTTTCTGATCCTTTTTTTGTTTCCTTTGCAGCGTTTTATATTTGTTGCAAAACACCTCGCGTATTGATGCATTTTAGTTAGTGGAATTTTGGATACAGTATTGTTTTAATCAGGTATTCATGGCAAAATAATACTCAAGTTGTATATTTGCATTCTCTTGATGTAGGAATCAATTAATGCATTCTATGATCTATTTTTTGATGCTTGATTTTATTTACATTTTATGTGTTCTTAAAGTAATTTATCTGTAATTTCATAGTGATTGTTGCTGTTGTCATTATAGCTAATTATAGACAGTACCGTTTTTAAAGCCTATTTGATATTTCAGTACCCATTACTTGAAATTGCTAATCAAGTTGTTAGATACCAGATGATGATGCGCTATCAGAAGAATAAATGAATATCCGTGTGTTTCAGAACAAATGGCGGTGGGAATGGTTCTGACTTTGAAAGATTGAATGTTTTTAGATTTTGATCTGAAGATTTCTGCCATCTATGGCTTTCTAATTCTTATGCTTGCGATTATTAAAGCAATACTTGCATGTCATGAGTCTGGTTCCGTATTTTTCATTAAAAATGCACTCATCGGTTGTTTTGTCACCTGCAATGCACGAAGGATGGTCGAAATACTTTAGATATTTTCATCTTTAGCAATTTTAGCGTTTTCTCTTCTAATCAATTATTGCTTTGTGGTTGTTCTGTTTAATAATTGATATTTATGAGCAAGCACTGTAATAATCGAGGTATAAGTCAGGGTTTCTGAATAATGAATTCAGCAAAGCTGAGTCAGTGTTTCTTGAATGTAAGTGATTGGAGTTGCAGGTCAGAGTTTTCTAAACAGTGGGAGTGGGGCGGGTAGTGCGGATCAGCTCTCTCTTTTTCGTTTTTGAATGTAGGCGGGTGAAGTATTTGTCATTGTTGATATGTATTTGGTATGATATGTAGTGTGATTTTTTATACACTGAGAGTTAGTACATGAGTTGTAAGTGTTTCATCTTATAGTTTGAGAGTTATTTGCAATTGTGATTTTGATTTGATCTGATATTTTACTGACAAATTGCCTCGTTGTATCATATAATCAAGTTGGCATGTCAGAGACTTTAAAAAGAGAGAAAAAGAGAGGGAGGATGGGAATTTTATAGTCATCGATTATTATATAGGCGGCAGATTTGAATTACATGGTTGAGATCGCCATTTTTTTTCTCAAGTTAAAAGTTCGGAAATATTTGGGGTGTGTAATAATTTGTTCAGCTGAAAACATAATATGGAAAAATGTGTTTTAGAATTCAATTCTGGAGTAGTAATCTGGTGTTTGAGTTCTTTTATGTGCTGAGGAATTGGTAAATGTTCTGCACTAGTTTGTCTTAAGTTTTCAAAAGTAGATTAATGCAAGATATATTTCAGTTGCTGATCTTATATTATCATGGAAGACAGGAAAAGTGAAGAAAGTGATGATCAGGAGTTAGAGGAAATTGATCTAAGTATTTTCAAGTTCAAGGAAGTGCTTGCTGAGGATAGTACCCGTAAGGTCATCTTTTTTAACAATCACGTTTATTAATATGATTCACTTCAAGTTCTCTTGGGAGTTAAAAAGTTGGTCATATTATGTTAGCTAAGTAATCCTAAAATTACTAAGAAGAATGAAGTCTAAGATGTTTTTGTATTGTACATTTTTTTATCGCCGTCATAAATTCGAGTATTTGTAGTTAATTGTAAAGACTTCATTATCTAGTTTTGGTATTCCTTACAACTGGAAGCTAGCAGATGGAAATACTGGCTAATGATAACTATAGTTTAGAGAAAGTTCAGTTATTACGTATTTACTGGTGAATAATTGATGAGGGTTGAATTGTGACATCATAAATGAGAATGAGCAATAATCTTCCTTATTATATTTTGAAATCCCTTCACTCTATTAATTATAATTTTGTTTTTAATTTAGACGGCTTTTATCTTGGTGGATACGAATGATGGTAGTGATCAAGCCATTTTGATTGTAGAAAGATCTGCTTTTCCAGTAGGAGAGCAAGAATGGAATACGATCATGGCAAGATCTTCACTAAGAACTTTATCAACAAATGATGTATATTCGAATCATATTTTGCTTCCACCAAAAAGATTTGCTGGTATAGAGTCATTTTAATAGAATGCGTTTATTTCAAATATCATGTAAATTTTAATACTTTTAAGAGGCATATAATTTATTGAAAACTCTGAATCTATTCAGGAATAATTTTTCTTTGCAAAACACGTAATAGCTAATTAAATTGTGAAAATTTGTAACTATTTGCTTGTTAAAGCAAATGTTAAGGCCAACTATAAAACAATGAATTTTGATTAAAAAGGGATCAGAACGATGATAATAAGTCCATGTTCCGAAAAACATATCGCGAAATATCGACAACAAAAGCGATATGTACTTCATGAATCAGCAGATGATTATAAATCCCTCACTTTACCTCATCTAAAAGAGCGTCAACTTCCATTGAACGTAATATTTGTAAAAGAAAATCTTTATATTAAAATATCAGGATGTTCAACCAAATTTAAATGGTTTAAAATTTCAAAGCTATTCTTTCAGTGGGTATATAATTTGTTGGATCATCGTGCTGAAGTGGAACGCATAATTTTCGAAGATCAAGATCCAAACAATGGTTTTCTTCTTCTTCCAGATATGAAATGGGATGGTAAAGAACTGTCAAATCTTTATGTCCTTGCAATAATTCGTCGGAAAGGAATAAAGTCCCTTCGGTTATTTTGATGCTTCTCGTCCTTTTAATTGTGTTTATTTTTAGTTTTCAATTAAGAATTTGTAGATTAAAAATTTATTTGATCGTAGCATTCAAAAAATACGAAATAAATCATGTTTCTGAAACTCAATTGCTTTCAAAATCTTTCCATTGAGTTTCAGAGATTTGACAGGTAATGACCTTCCACTTTTGGAAAATGTTCGCCAAAAAAGTTATGCGGCAATTAAAGAAAAATACGGACTCACCGAGCATGAGGTGACCCTTTACGAGTGTAAACAATTCAGTCATTAATATTTGTAATATATTTTCCAGTCATTTGACTCGATTTACATATTTTTAGTGCAAATAAAACTTTGGTTTGTGAGTTCTTTGTGCTCCTCAATATCTCTGTTTAGTTAAAATATAGTTAATTTCTTGTTCTTGGAAATAACTTCAAATAAATTTCAAGAAATTTTTAGTTGTATATAATCTGTAGTGTTTTTTAGATCCGAGCATATTTCCATTATCAACCTTCATTCTACCATTTGCACATTCATTTCATATATGTTTGTTACGATGCACCTGCTAGTGCTGTCGCAAAAGTTCGCTTGTTAATTCAGAATTTATTTTACATTTTAGCTCCAAAAGATTAAAAAAATTTTTGTTTTGTATATTTTTTTGAGATAATTCCTTTTGAAAAATAATAGTATATTTTAAACTCTCTGCAGCTGTAAATTTTGATGTACTTCAGCATAAATTCATTGCTGATCAGCCCATGATTAAAATCTAATAATACTAAGAATGCTCCGGAAAATTGTGTTTTTATTAGAAAAAAAATAACTGTATCGAACTAGATTGCACTTCATTTTCTTTCTTATATCGTATGTGATTGAAAAATGTTTTTAGTCATTTACTGTGGTTATTTTTTTGCCTTTTCAGGCATATCTGTTGGAAGATGTGATCAACAATATAAAATTGGTTCCTGACTTCTATCAGCGATCTACATTGACATTTGCCTTGAAAGAGAGTGATCCATTGTTAAAAGTATATCGTGACACTTATGGTTGGTAGTAACATGATTGTGTTTATGACTAAAAATTTTAATTTTTGCTAATATTGAATTAATCGTATACGTTTGCATTTGCTTTGTAAGATTACACTTTAATAATTTTTTTCTTGACATTTGCATTTTGACTTCACTTTGATATACTATGCTTCTGTTTTTTGTTTTTGTAATTATGGTAATCTATCAATAAAATTACTTACTGCAAAAATTTACGTGATACGCAAGGTTTTTCACCCAACATGGTGCTATACCTGTTCTCTCTCTGCTTCTCAATATATTTTGCTATCATCTATCGATTTTCTTCCTCGGCTTGTTCGTTTTAGTCGTTATCACCTACAGATTTCCGGTCATTTTGCAGCGGAATCATATGTTGTTATTTTGTCCAGAGTGTGGCGCATGTTTACAGATTGAAGAAGGTTCAAACTGCTATCAGTTCAATTGCCATAACTGTCCTTATGTACAACCGATCACAAAACTTGTTGGTCCTTTAATTATCTATTTTTTAGCAAATTTTCTGGATTGTTTTTCGATTTATTTATTCATTTTCAAGTCTTGCCATAGTGGTTGTTCTGCTTAATTCCATGTTCTAACATTAAATGATAAAGCGTATTGCTTTTTTGTCCTGTTTTTCTGATGAAAACTAAATTTGTTGTAAGTGCTGTTTTTTTTTTTGAAGTTACTCTTTTTTGCATGATAATTTCTATAACCTAAAGGTCTCAGAAAGGTAATGGATGGAATAACTTTTAGATAAGAAGTCGATATTACCCGAAACTAAAAGATTTGGATGAAGTACTTGGTGGTCCTGGCGCTTGGGAAAATGCTCAAATTACAGACGGTTCATTTTTTTTCTTCGAAACAACTAATGAATACGACAAAAAGAAACATGAAATATTTTGAAAATATTTTCTTCATGCATTAAATGATAAGATTTTTTTTTGGATACATTTCAAAACAGTTTCAAGAATGTAATTTATTTCTTTCAAGAACACCGTTTAAGACTTTATCTTTTTAAAATACTTTATAATAGATTAAAAATATGATTCAACGTTTATCATTTTTTGAAATTTATTTATAGAACGGTGTCCACGTTGTGCGGGAGAAAGAGCATATTTTATGCAACTTCAGACACGTAGTGCTGATGAACCAATGACTGTTTTCTATCGTTGTGCGAATACAGAGTGTGCTCATCGGTGGAAAGAATGATAAATGTGAATATTTAAATTTTGAATGACAATTTTTCATCGCAGCTGTTTAGCTGTCACATCCTATACATTTTTTAATAATTAATATTAATATGGTAAATGCAGTTTATAAAGTAAATAAAGCACTCATGGCATTAGACTACATGACTTGATAAGATAAGAATTTAAACAGTTGTCCCTGGATGATATCTTTCTAGTGTCAATTTGAGGAAATAATGTTTTTGAGCTGGTATTTTTTATATATTGTTTAAAATTGTTAGAACTTTATGATCAAATCGCATGACTAATCTATACCATTGAATTATTAAAATTTGTATATAGTTATAAATTGTTTAAAAACAAATAAGAAACATTTAATTGTAGCTGACTTCCTCAAAGATTTTTGTGAGTTGAAGAGTTGTGATCTTCACTCAATATGCCGTTTAAAAAAACTTGGATAACAAGAGGCTATTTCTGCAAATACCACCAAATTCTATGATAATTTTAAGTGCATGATGCATACTACAAGTATATAAGATTTTGAAATACGAAGCTATCTAAGCAGTATTTTGGTTGTTCAAGAGAACTAAAGGGACTTTTACATGATTTGGTGACAACAGATGGTACTTATTAGGATTTTGACATTTGATACCACTGTCCTGCAGGCTTTTTTGTTCTATACTACTTGGATCTTATTTATTGCTGGTTTATTTGTTGCTACAAGATTATTACTATCAGCTCATTTTTGTTCAGTTGCTCGCAATCTGATCGCTTTTGGAATCTCTAGGTATCTTTGTGTTCTTCATCTTCAGTGTTTATCACATTATTTGTCAATTTATTGCTAACTAGGAAAAAGTATATTAGCCTTTTCATTACTTACAATTATGGTATTGATTTTTGTTCAGAGTTTATTTCAGTTCATTAATCTTTCAACTTGCTATGCTTCACAATGAATCAGCTGCAACTCGTAAGATGATACTCGATAAGGGCCCACCCTTGAATTGTTTGGTAAAGTCATATTATGATCACATTGTGATGTATTAAAAATCGTTCAAATCGAAAATATATTTTCAGAAGTCAATACATGTTTATTTTACAGCAAGATTTTTGGATGCAAGTACTGTTATTTGATTTTGATATATATTTCATAATAGGTTTCAGATAATTTCTAACGTTCGGATTGCTACACAAAAAAATTAAAATCAAATAAGAAGCTAAATGAGCTTTTTTATCATTTTTTAGAAATCTAGTCCATTATTACAGAATATCTTTATTTTTTTTAATTCTTAGGGTCTGTCATGGTTAACTAGCTTGTTATCAGCATATTCATGTCCTGAATACTACGAAACTCTCCAAGGTAACATCTTTTGGCAGTTGAATGTTTTGCGTGTTTCTGGGACATTGTTGAAAGATATGGTGATTTTAACTGCATCAATGGTAATTATTTATTTGCAGCTTTATAGTAACATTTGTCTGTATTTTGATTTTAATGTTTGTAGTTGTAAAAATCACTGTTTAAAAAATTTGCTTAGAATACGAACTATTACTCGGGTAGGAAGATATCTTGATGATAAAAACGCAGCCTTTAATTATAGTTTGCTATGTATGCTTTAGTTACAGATTTATATTGCAAATGATGTTCAGTGATTAGAAAAGCGTAATAAAGGGAATGAAGAATTATTCGAAAGTTATTCCTACGTAACTCATCAAATGGTTCCAAAAAAATGGACTAACTTCATCATTTTTCATGAACCATTTGATGAGTTACCTTATTACGTTTCTGCATTACAACTAAGTATACGCTAAAAACCTTGCAATTTATTATGAAGAATACGAACAAGTTTGTAATAACCTCTACATGATACTTAATTGTTTATAAACTGTTTTACAGTGTGGTGGAGCACTTGGTGAATTCGTTCATTCATTTATAAACAAATTCCATTGGCTTATTTACGTTCCTGTACTCATAGGAACTCTACTTTGCGTCTTATCTAGTATTTTTGCTTTATTTGGATGTCGATTCGATCTAATCTACGGTTTAATTCGAGTTGATTTCAGAAATCAACGAATTCTGAGGTATATGCATATATTTTTACTTGTTAAGAAACGAACTGCAGCAAGACTGATTTCACTAAGTTTAGTAAATTTATTTACAGGTGTGTTAACTGCGTATCAAACGAAAATTTTGGAGAAGCGTCAAAAAGAAAGTTTTTGGCTTGTACGAGAAAAGAAACTAAACCATTGCTTCTGATCAATGAACTCTATCAAAAAGCTCTAAACAGGAGAAAAATAAAGCTATAATAATCACTATGTACTAACTTTTTTACCTACTGATACATTAAATGTCGAGATATTTATTTAATAAATTTTGCGACGTCATGCGCATATTTTAGAACTAGTGATGTAGCAACTTTCCCAAAAAATCTAGTTAAGTTTGAAAATATTCGGGGATATAGGAATTCATAAAAAAAGACTTGTTTCATCATATTTTAGAAGCAGTGATTTGGTATTGTCGACTTCAAGCAGAATGTTTGTGAGACGACTAGTTCTTTCAGAATTAGTTCTATGTTATGAGTTACCAGAAAATTATGCATTAAGGATCCATTCCTTACTTTATTGTTACCCCAATGGAATATAAATAATAATATATGAAAGGTTGTTTGATGAGTATTTGACTTAAATTTCTATAAAATACAAAAGTCATTGAAAATTAGAGTGGTTCATAACATGAATCATAAATTTGTTACACTGGTAATGTCTATTGTTTTTATTCAAATCTTTGGAAAACTGATTAATGTCTTTTATATTTTACGTCTCTTTATTGCATTAACTTTTGATAAAAATAATTGTCTCGACGTGTTTTCTTCACATCCTATCCATCAAATTTGCTTCGGTGACGTAAAGAGATAAGATGCTAGCATACACTTAAGTTGGGTAAGGAAAGGTTAAAAAGTTACTTAACAATATATGTGGTCTAGAATTTAGTTTCTGACGCGATTTTCATCTAGACAAGTGACGACAGTAGAAAAGGTATTAGAAGCAACTTTACTAGAAGTCTAAATTAGTGACACTGATTTAATTTAACGTAAAACCCTACACAACGTCAACCCTGCAGTATCCGCGATTCAGTTTTGGTAATTTCAACTTCGTCTAGTCAAAAAAGTACAGTTTGATTGGTATTTGCCCATGTGATGTGCGTTGTATAACATGTAACTCAATCTCTCATGTAGTGTGTCTGTTCTTATATGACGTGTAAATCCGCGTGGCACATCACTGTCCTTACACTTGTGTGGTATGTCTAAATCTTAAGTACACGTCATGGGACAGCATCACATTAGTGTAGCAACCAATCATTGCATAGCACGTCGGATAACGCCTTCTAGTACTCTTTTATAAAGGCTTTAGGGCGTTTCCCTCCGCCTTCTCTGTCTCATTGACACGCTTTGCTTGCGTAAGTGGTGGTTCCATTTATAATTTTCTATGTCATAGTTGCTGAAGTCTTACTTTGTATGTCCATAAACTGTCGAATTAGGTCATGTCTGGTATTGCGTTGTAAAAGAGTTCATTTATTTTCATTTTGCAGCTCTTATTATCGTGTTAAGTATGTTAAGCACTCAGTATATTTTCTATATTGATTGTAAATTTGTTGTTGAAATCGGTCGAAAATTAGTTCAATAGGTCAGATTTAATGTTTCCCAGGAAGAGTTAGGGAGTAATCATGCCCTAATAGTGCCTGCACTCAAAAATTAGAATAGTACTCTCCTAAATTCTGACTTTAACTTATCTTCCTCAGAAATACGAAGTGAAAGCACTAGTATTTTGTTAATGCTATGAAATATTTTTTCTAGTATTTTTTTGATTTTTCTTATGCAATATCTTCAAGCATTTTAGGCTGTGAAAAAAACTTTCTGAAAGTTCCTTATTACTGTACTTGCAAGTGAATCAATACTATTTCGTATTTCAAATCAGAAAACATTCTCGTCATCTGTTTAGTGTAACTTGTTAGTTGTTTATATGTAGTGACCATCACTCTGTTGTAATTAGGATTATTATTTCATTTTATCTTTTTACAGAACTTTACAACATTTATAATGAGAACGTTTGTGTTCTTTGTCGGGGCGCTTTTTGTTCTCAATGTTTTTGCGCAAGAAAGTAATGCCAAAGATGACGCTAGTGATTCGAAAACTGGTTCAAAGTACGGCACAATAATTGGGATCGATTTGGGCACCACGTACAGGTTTGTAACATTCAAGGTGTAATTGAGATTATTATTTCATATTCGCAATCTTTTTTCGGAATTTCTATCCCTGAACGTTCTATAAGGATATAATTTATCTCTTAGTATCTGGTGACCTATGTTGTGTATAGTTTTACTGCTAACGTGTAGGTTTTTTGTGAATGATGTCGATTTGAGTTTATATACTACTTTCCTACTACTCTTTCTATGTTATGCGAAGCCAAATCAGTACTACAGTGTGGAACTTATTGATTTTTATACTTTGCTTTATTTTCTATATGCAAATACGCTGCTTGAACTATCAATTTATTACAGTTGTGTCGGCGTTTATAAAAATGGACGAGTGGAAATTATAGCTAATGAACAGGGTAACAGAATTACACCATCATATGTTGCATTCATGAGCGAAAGTGGTGAACGTCTGATTGGTGATGCAGCAAAGAATCAGTTAACTACCAATCCAGAAAATACAGTCTTCGATGTTAAACGTTTGATCGGTCGAGAATACTCGGATCCAAAAGTTCAGCAAGATATTAGACATTGGCCTTTTAAGGTAGAATTTTTATTTTTTGGCATACTTTCATCTCTACTTATTTATAATATGATCTCTTTCAGGTTGTGGATACAAAAAACAAGCCTCAGGTGGAAGTTAAAATTGGTGATAAAAAGAAAACCTTCGCTCCAGAAGAAATTTCAGCTATGGTTCTTACTAAAATGAAGAATATTGCTGAATCGTATTTGGGAAAAGAAGTTAAGCATGCTATCGTGACAGTGCCCGCTTACTTCAATGATGCGCAACGTCAGGCTACCAAAGATGCGGGTTCTATTGCAGGCCTTAATGTCGTGCGAATAATCAATGAACCCACGGCTGCTGCTATTGCATATGGTCTAGACAAAAAAGAAGGCTAGTTTCCGTGCGATTATCCTTATATTTTGTGTTTCAAACATCGTTAATGATTTTTAGCATTCTGTATCGTTTAGTTAGTATAATAGATATTTTCTTCTGTGAACCCTGCAGTATTGTTATAAGTTTTTAATCAGAGAAACAACGTTTTAGTTGGTTAAAGGTTTTAAAAGAAAATTCATGTTGGATTTGAGTATTAAGAACAATCTGTGATCGTATGAAGCAGTGGATTTTTGGATTTGAACGAAAATCTCTGAACTAGCGAAAGATTATAGAATGCTTCTAGGTGAGCGCAACATTCTCGTTTTCGATCTTGGTGGCGGCACTTTTGATGTTTCATTGCTTACAATCGATAATGGCGTTTTCGAAGTAATAGCAACAAGTGGTGATACTCATTTGGGTGGTGAAGATTTTGATCAGCGTGTTATGGAACATTTCATTAAAATCTTCAAGAAAAAGACAGGCAAAGATTTACGGAAAGATACTCGTGCGGTACAAAAGCTGCGGCGTGAAGTAGAAAAAGCAAAAAGAGCTTTGTCAACCCAGCATCAAGTGCGAGTGGAGATTGACTCGATTCTTGAAGATAAAGGCTTATCTGAAATACTCACAAGAGCCAAATTTGAGGATCTTAATATGGATTTGTTCCTATCTACATTGAAACCAGTGCAGAAGGTGTGTTTCGATTCGAATGTCTGTTTTCTTTTTTGCGTCCTCTGGGTGCCATTCATTCTAGTGTTTAGTTATTTGCTTTCATTGTGCTGATTATAGGTATTAGAAGATTCTGATCTAAAAAAAGAAGATATCCATGAAATAGTTCTCGTTGGAGGCTCAACTCGTATTCCAAAAGTGCAAAAACTCCTCAAAGATTTCTTCGGTGGAAAGGTAATGTCATTAATTTCTAGATAAAACAGAGAGAAATCTGTCATATTCTTAAATGTTATCTTCATAGCCAATTTTCAGGAACCATCTCGTGGTATTAATCCGGATGAAGCAGTGGCATACGGTGCAGCGGTACAGGCTGGTGTTCTTTCTGGTGAAGAAAGCACAGGTGACATTGTATTGTTGGATGTAAATCCCTTGACTCTTGGTATTGAAACGGTTGGTGGAGTTATGACGAAACTAATCCCAAGAAATACTGTCATCCCCACTAAGAAGAGTCAAGTTTTCTCTACAGCAGCTGACAATCAGCCGACCGTTACTATTCAGGTCAATTTAAAATTTTTTGAAATATCTGTTACGTTAGACAATTTTGACATTATTTAATTCAGACTTGTTCTTACAATAGGCATTTTTATGTAATCAGTAGTATTTTAGGTTTTCGAAGGAGAACGATCAATGACGAAGGATAATCACCTCTTAGGTAAATTCGATCTGTCTGGAATTCCTGCAGCACCACGAGGTATACCACAAATTGAAGTTACTTTTGAGATCGATGTTAACGGAATTTTGCATGTCAAAGCGGAAGACAAAGGTACAGGCAACAAAAATGAGATTACTATCACAAATGACCATAATCGTTTGTCACCAGAAGATATCGAAAGAATGATAAACGATGCAGAGAAATTCGCGGACGATGATAAGAAGGTTTAATTCATTGATCTCTTTCATTATGGTGTTAATCATATCAGTTTGGGAATCACTTTTGCTATTTGATCTTTTGAACTTCATATGATCTCCAGGTGAAAGAACAAGTGGACGCACGGAACGAATTGGAAAGTTATGCATATTCATTGAAAAACCAAATTGGGGATAAAGACAAATTGGGTGGTAAATTAGATGGCAGTGAGAAGACGACGATTGAAAAAGCTTTGGATGATGCCATTTCGTGGCTCGAGAGCCATAAGGTGTTCATGATATCTTTTATGATTTAAGAAATATAGAGAATGAATTTGATGTATGTAGTAGAGATGTTTAAACTGCTATTTCATAACATTTCTGTATAGCCTTCATGCAATTACACCTTGTTTCAGGATGCATCTGTTGATGATTTGCAAGAACGTAGGAAAGAATTGGAAAACATAGTTCAACCAATTATTGGCAAATTGTACAAGGACCAGGGCCCTCCACCATCGGGAGGTGCATCACAACCAACCGAAGATAAAGACGAGCTTTAGAGAATTTCGATTATATTTTATTTTCATTTTAAGTTTAGTTTTGAAAAATTTTGCAAAATCGGGTTTGATTAGCGTCGTGACCTCGTATTTTGTTTCTTGTTTAACAAGGTCAAGATGTTAAGCATCTGCCTGTGTACACAATCTTGCAAATTCTAATTTATCAAAATGCAAACTACACCAAATCTTTCCTCTAAACATTATGAAAATGTTCATTATTGCTTTTTGCAAAGTTTAACTCTTACTACAGAAGAACTGGTCATTTATTAAGAACTCATCTTGAGTTATTCTATGATGTTTACGTAGCGCGAGGTGATATCTTGCTCGTGAGTTTCTCAAAATACCAAATGTTCCTTTCCTGTACTTTAGTTTTGTAGTGTTCTGAAATTTATTTACTATTATTTTTGCAATTTAATTTAAACAAGCGTATTTCAAATAAAAGATTTTAATATGCATCTTATACATGAATTTATTATGCCTGTGGTTACTGTGTATTGTTTCTGTATTGCGAAGCCTTTTCGAGAAAAGTATTACCACTTTGTGTTTCCGATCATAGCTTATAAAATCTTGAAAAGGTAATATTTCAAAGGGGATTCTGTTAAGATTTGAGAAAAAACTAATTCCTACATAGTTTGAGATGATGGCTGACATTACAAAAAAACTATGTACTCTTCACTGCTTTATCGCACGAGGTCAAGCATACTCGGATAGTTTAATCCTTGGAACTGATGTGTAGGCAACTGCTGACAAATTTGTACATTATTTTATTTGGTAAGTGCATTTCTATTAAGCATATCACGGAGTGATTTCCAGGGACTGGCTTTTACACCAATTCTATGAAGGGTCGATAAGGTTGCATGAACTTATATTCTATTAAAGCATCATACTCATCAACTAGCTACTTTTGCTTGAAAATAAGAGTAACTCACGAGAACATGCATTCTTAGCAGTCAGTTCTAGGTTTATAGATAAACTCAAATGTCTAGATAGATACTAGAGTGTCAGTAATAATGGGACACTCGATGCTGTCTACATTTAAAACAATTCAGGGAAAAGCTATGTCCCAAGCAACTTTGTATACAGAGCTCATCTTGAGATTGAGTTTGTTGTTGTAAATTAATGTATTGAGAAAAATACATTTCTTTCTAAAGTTTTGAAATAAAGTCAGTCATGACTGAGTAGTAATGTAATGACTGAGTTGTAGACACACATTATCTCAGACGTAAGCTGGATCTTTACGAACAATGATGAAAGATGCAAGGTTTGCTTCATCCCAATTTCCCACAACTGCGTGACTTCACTCATTTGATCAATAAAGGGTGTAATTAACCAATCAGTTCCCCAAGTATCTTCTAAATATCAAAAATGAGTCTTTTTTTTCTTGACGATATTTCTTATACCTACAACAATAGACGGAATAAATTCCATAATAAATAAAGACATCAGACTCATCAGTAGTGAACTTATCAAGCAACAGTAGTATATCAGTATAATCAGATTTACCAAAACGATATAAGTAACTAGAAGACTTTATAAGTTCATTAGAAATAATAATATTATCAAACAAATCCCTTAAATCTTCAGACAATCAGCTAAACACAACAATGAGCAGTAAAATGACTTCATTCTGAACGCCACTTACATATTCTCAGTTTTTTCCTTCTTACTCAAATTCTATTACAGTTTTCTTCAGAAATAATATCCCCGAAAAATTGCAGAAACAACAGAGATAAGATCGCAACATAAACACTTGCTCAGATATTTTGAAATATGCCATTAGAGTTGCATAGGTTCCGAAGTCCCTTGCGACTGAAAAAGTTCAGCATGATTCATACACCTTCAGTTAATAAAGAAAGACAATAGTCAAGTTGATACAAATTCATTTGTTATGCTTAATTTTATACGGAAAAACATGGATATCAAATTATTCAATGGAGTTAAAGTGCAATTCATTTTAAACAACTTATTTTGTGTCATTTGAAAAAAATAAATTCTGACTAACTTCACTGCTAGCATGTTGGCCACTTCGAGGAACACTTGATATACGGTCCAAAAATGGCTGCACATCATCGTCTTCCATTACTTTGAACGCCATAGCTTTACCAACCGCAGCAATTGTTGTATTCTATAACATTGCAGCAAACTTTGTTCAAAAATGGAATGAAACTGCTTGTTCAATTTTCATCCACAATAAATAAACTTTTTTTTTTATTGAAGGAGCAGTCCATTATTTAGAAGAACATGTATTTAAGAAACTACCTTCTTCGTCAGGTTATCTTCAGCTGGCAATGTATCTCTCAGAGCCAATAAAGCATGCTCAACCAATTGCTCAAATCCCGCTGTAAATTAAGACATGAAAAGGACGGAAAAAAAGTGCTATACAAAAAATTTTCGTTCACAGTACAGACCAGAAGGAAAATGATCTAAATTGCGCTCCAGGTACGTTCGCGCACTTTGTGATCGAGCACCTATGGAGCTTGCCAATGTTTCTACAACTTCTGCTGACGGGTCAGTCTTAACAATATGTGTTCCTCTATCCTAAAATATAAAATTTTAGGGTGAATACTAGAATTTGATTTTAAAAAATTCAGTCGTATTTTACAATCGGTACATCCTTTCAAACTATGAAATGCTAACTCATTTATAGAACTGAGAGCACTGAATGTTTCAAATAGTGCTTCCAATTCTTCAAAAAAAACAGAAGTAAACTAAAAAATAATTGAAACACAACATCAATATAAAATTTCATGTATAAACATTATAAACATAATAAACTCACATCGTAACCAGCTATGATTAATCCCACACCAAACGGGCGTCTTCCATAAATTTGTGTATTTGCCTGAAGTTCTGAAATTTTTTTTCCTTCATTTCATGTAAGAGTTGTTCGTAAATATAAGAGAACTACTGAAAAATTGCATTTGGCACTATTAAAACAACTTTAAAGAACTACAGTTTTATATTCATATACATTAGATATTGTCATCTAAATATAAAATCTTAGGATGAATACTAGAATTTGATTTTGAAATACGACATCAATCTGAAATTAAAAAAAATCAAATTATAGAGTGTGTTAGTACAATAATCATTTCTCCCGTCGGCTTTAATTTAATCAGAAACTTCAATAAAGTTGCTTGTCTTCTACAGTTCAATATTTAAATTTTTAGGTTTGCATTAAGTCTATTATAACAACAAATGAGATCCTAAGCAATGCAGTAAAATACACTAACTGAGTTGAATGCGATTAGTAAGAACTTGTATTGGCACTGGTTCCTTGTAGTCCCACCTCCAGGCAGAGCATTCTGTTTGTAAGAATCGCCTATAATTTTAAATTTAGTGAAAATGTTCAACTTGTCTACTATTTAAATGCAACCTGCATTTAAATAGAAAAAAATCAAAGAATAAAAATCAAAGTATCAGAACTAACGCAAGTATGCGACCATCAGAAAGAAGCCCTGCGATGGAGACTCCAGCATGCGTATCAAGTTCATAAATCTTTTTCTGATGAGAGCATAAATCATTCGCAGCACGCTGAAAAAACATTGAAAACTTTACTACATCCATTTCATGTATCGATATTTGATATAAAATATGTAATATATAAAACATATAAACAAAATTCAATCATAGAAATGTATTCAGCAGTTTTTCACGCGTAGGCTGCAACTTTATCACAGCGAAATTATTTTTACATCACAATACAAAATTTCCGAAATGATGTAATGATTAATAAATAAGATAGTTACTCAAAAATATCGATCAATTTTCCTTAGAACAAAAATTAAGCATTATTTGTCTGATAACGAAGAAATAATTTAAAAATTATGACAATCATTACCTTCACTGCCACCAAAATAGCATGTGTATTGCTTTTAACCCCAACAGTAGCACTGCCTTGTTTCATCGCTTCAACCGCATAATCAACTTGATGAAGCCGACCCTGAAAAAGGAAATTTTAAGAATTAACAATTGGTAGCATCTACAATAATTGACATTTATACTCCCAACTCTAGACTACCAAATTACTATTCCTTAAACAGAAGATACAGAAGACTGCAGAGAGTACAAGGTACTGACAGAAAGCAAGAACAAGGGTGACCATCGAAACCCAATCCACTTGAAACGTCCCCTAAGCAATTACATAGTGGATCTTTAAATACTAGAAATCACCTGAGGGCTCCAAACTGTTACATCGCTGTCGTACTGGTTGCGAAACATTTCTGATATTAATTACTTCACCTCAAAGATGAATCACATATATTTTACTCCAACAATGCATATAAAAATCTACATTTATGACTGAAAATATAATACCCAGCAGTAACTTCAGTTTTAACGACCCATTTCACACAGTTAACTTTATTCAATACTAATAAAAAGATAAACTGAATATACTCCAGTCTATACTAATATATCATATTGAAGCAAAGCACAAAACTTTAATAATTCGTTAAAAGCAATTTCATATGAAATCTCAAATGAATATAAAAGTGATAGATACGTGGTGTTTACTGAGTAAATGTGATAGACACAGATATTTACTGAGTAAATTTGCTGCGCAACACAAATATCAATACAAGCAATTATTAAAGTTACAATAATTTATCGAATTCAATAATTTTATGATCAATAAATAACAAAAAACAAAGTATGAATAAGGTAAGTTTTGAAAAAGTATATTATAAGAAGCAAAAAACTTAAGAAATTAGAATCAAAAAACAGTTATGACATCTGCTTCATCTATTTTATCAAACTTCCGATGAAGCATATAAAAATGAATAAGGATTCTGCCAAGAAACTCAAAAAATATTGTTCACCAAAATTATAAATAGGCCTGTTTATTAAATGGACTGAGCTTTCACGTTGCACTCATGATCTTCTTAATTCTTTATGACTCAAATAGAATCACTAAAACGACTAGAATTTACATTTAATTACAAATCACGTGTTACGAAGACACAAGATCTTTCGCATCACCCCATTTCTCAGATATCCAGCGTATTGTTCTTACAGGTAACTGAGGTCCAATTAATGGATTTAACTGATGCAAATATACTAGTATCCAGAAAAGCCAACAACAACATGCCGTTAATATAATCATAGTTTGAATTATGCCTGCAACAATTAAATGAATTTATCAAATGAAAAGATTTAACAGTATATGAGCATAAGTACATTGAATAAATTAAATTAAAAAAAAATGTTGTCTTTTTCTATCAACTCAGCAGTTTCGTCCGAATTGTAACTCCAGAAAACTATGAGACATGTTTTGATAACAAAAGAAATACGATGGACGAATTAACAAAGGGTACCTCGATTTGGTCCTTTTGGAATAATAAAAGGTCCACCAATACCAACAAGCATCCAAAATCCAGTAACCGTAATCAACGAGATGATTACGCTCATTTCCTCTAAATTGTAAGGGAGTGAATAATGGTACCTGATATTTTCAACGTATTTCATACAGTTTCAGTATACTGTGATATTTTCAACTGATGCAACGAATGAATTTAACAAAGCTTGTACATTACTTAAAATTTGGCCCACTTCAAAAATACAACTGCTAATCTCTCTATCAAATTTAACTCAATTGCAAAACAATTATAAACAATTACAAAATAGTATAAAATGAAATAAAACATAGTAAAACGTAATATTTTTGATACAAAACTATAAGTAACGAGATAAAGAACGCATCAAAAACTATATCTACTACAATAATAATAAATTACATTTCAAAGTCCACAGCAACAAAACTATCATCGTAATCTATTTCCCGTTCTGGATCAAAGGTCGCATAGCGGCACGGTTATAAATCGAAGATTACTGTCATCTGTTGCCGCGCTATATTTGCTTGTTTTATAATTTCAATGTGTTTTATTGTTTGTGTAGGTAGGAAATGTTTGTGGTGTTTTGTTATTATTATTAAATTCTTGATTTTAACCTGTGTGTCTATTGATATATATGATATCATTCGCGTCAATCAATGAACTCGTGGTTATAAGTCTCGCACAGTAGTACTTTCAGATTTTCAAGACTGTTTTGGTGTATGTGAAAATGAAACTTTGTCCATTATGTGGTCCAAAACTGTCTGCTTTTTGGTAAGTCTTCTTCTTGCTTGTGTAGAATGTTAAAAAGCAACTGAAGTTGTCTCATGTAGCATTCGCCAGTCGGTGAAATTAGAATTTTATTTATTTTTCATACATTCCAAGTTGATTCACTTTTGTTATCATCGTTTTGAGAAAAGAATCGTGAAATAATCAACCTATGGCATTGCTTAAATTACTTTCAAGCAATGAAAATATTTCAAATGTTAGTTCGCATCAATTTAGTGATTAGCCTTTATTAATCTTACATATGTAATGTGTATTTATAAATAATGGTATTGCAGCATGGTTATGTCAGTGTGGGGTGTTGTTTTTCTTGGTCTGCTAGGTGTTTTTTTTCACGTCCAGGCTGTAAATTTATTTCCGGACCTTCATTTTGAAGAAGAAGAACCAGTGGAAGGAGTGGTTCCACCGTTATCAACTGCGTTAGTAGTTTTTCTTGTTTTTTTTTCTGTAACACAAAAATAAGACAGTATATTTTTAGAAATAAGTAAGTGTCAAGTCGGAAAAATTTATATGAATGTTTTCAAAAAAATACTTCTACTGAAAATGCGTTCATTTCAGAAAATAAAAATAATTAATTTTGATCAGTAATTATAGGATGTAATTAATTAAAATTTATTGTTAATTATCAAATTTTTCTAATCCTAATTGTTGTTTAGTAAGTAAAATTTATTTTGAATATCTTCAGTGTAATTGAAGATAAGTATGCAGAAAAAGCGACGCAATGTTGGGTTGCAGCCGGTATGTATTTAGTCACGCTGATCGTTGTTTTTTGGCAGAATAAATTCAATTCTGCATCAGTATTTTAACAGTCACTGTAATTTTGTCTATATTTCTCGGATTTGATGAATGTTTCTCTTAGTTTATTAGTCTTAGTGTTATTTTCAACGTTTGACCCGTTATGACTCAAATCTAGTTTTATGAAATTGGTTTCCGAAGTATTAAAAAGTCAAGAGCGGTGATAGCTATAGTTTAATTAAACCTATATTTCAAGATAATTTTTGTGAATGAAAAGATTTGAGATGTCTTACAATCTGACTTTGTTTATTTTAACGTGACTGACGTTTCATATATTGTTTTATTTTTAAATTCCGGTAATTTTAGTTCGTTGCTTGTGATGCTTATGTCATTTCTGTATAAAAGGTCTTCTGGGAGCAGTAGTCTTACTTGTAGAGTTTAGGTATTAATTAGCAGTTTGTAAATAAATTATTTTTGCAAAAGTGATTACAAGTTTAGTTTATGTAAATTTTAATGAGTGTATGGCATTCGAAAATTTGTGAATATCTTTATGCATGGTAGGTTACGGTGCTGATAAAAGTCGTCATATAATTGCGCGCCATGCAGTTCAGTAAACAGGTTTTATATCGTTAAAACCACTGGGTTTGTGCATTTTTTTAAAACTCTCTTTCATATATTCATATCCAGGTTTAACATTATTCATATCCAGGTTTTAGCTAGAGTATATTTCAGTTTATATTTCAAGAACTGTGAGGTTTGGATTGAGTTTTCGGCAGCATTCTTATCCATTAAGCCATTGTTATGCACAACGATGATATGAGTTCCATCAACCGAGGACAAAATTCCTTTTGAATTTAAGTGGTTAGCTTGGTCTTTCTAGTATCAACAAACATCCTAAGTATAAAGTGTTGCAAGAGAAGTAAGTCGGAACTTGCATGAGTTTCTGGGATGTCTCATGGACAATGAGTTCATTCTCTATTTCTGTGTTCCCTGCATTGATAACTGTTGTTATCAGTTAATCAAGCATTCTAATTTGCTATTTGAAAGTTAAACTTCCCATCACAACTTTGAGTTTTGGGGATGAGTTCGGTTCTTTCCCGGAATGCCAAAAACTTACCATTTGAATAAGTGTGTATGATAATTTAAAAAAGCCTTGAAATTCGTGTATGAAATTGGTAGATTGAATGAAGCTGGGAAACTTCAGTACTTTTTGTCAACTTGAAGCGGTAGAGATCGGTTTCAGTGACCGATTGAAAGGGTTTGTAAAAGAAATAGGGATAGTAAGACGCAGTTATGAATTGAATGTAAAGAATTAAATTACAGGTAATAAAATGTAAAGAAGATCTTAGTGATCGTATGGTCAAGATTTTTGGTACAAGATTTACGCTAATTTTTTGGAATACTAAATGTCTCACGCGTGCCTTGTATCATATACAGAAACAGACTAAAAATTTTCATGTTATTTTTACAACTAAATTTAGCATGCTTACTTCAAAAAGTTGCAGTGCAAAGTATGCAATAAATGAGAAAATATTTAATAAAATCACAAGATTACGTGTTTTTTATTTTATAACTTTTTGATTGTATTTAGTGCGGATGTTTAATTAAAAGCATATTTGGATATGATTTGTAATGAAGTATGTAAATAGATCTTGTTTGAAAATTAGTCTCCGATATATAATCTGCAAAAATCTGTAATAGTGGATAGTAATAATATTTGAAATTTGTAAAATTAATTTGAATTTGGTGGTCCGAATTTTATCATCGCTGATTTATTAAAATTTTCTTGATGATTATAATACAATCATGATGCATAATATATCCGAATGATCCGGAATTTTTGAAATTTTTTCTTTTGGCACAACAATTTTATTATGATTACATATTTGCATGAGATTAAGCATTGAACAGATGTATTTAATATACATATTTGTTTAATTATTTATTCCTTTCTGTAGCATTGAAAATATAATCAAATTTAGTTAAGGTCATGTCCATTCATCATGGTGGTAAGTCTTTATAACACTTTCAGGTTGAATATTTTAGTAATGTTTATGGATAAAATTTAGTAGCAATAAATAATAACTTGTAACTATAAATTCAATTAATAATTTTAAAAAACAATTTTTGCTCTGTACTGGGAACAAATATAACACATTTGTACACTTATAGGTTGCTCTTTTATACTGTTAAAAAAATAATTACTCAGGAAACAAAGGTCTGAAGTAGAATAAAAATTTATTCTACATTACTAAGAATGAATATAAACGATAGCTTGACAGCTAAAAAATTTGCTTAAATATGAATGACAATTTGGAGGCTAGAAAATCTGCATATGATAAAATTGTTAGCTAAATCCGCATAAAATGTTTGAAACCAAACGTTTTTTCAACATTCATTGTTAGTACATGAAGTTGGCGGTTCTCTAATTTAGCATTATTAGGTAAAATTACGAATGAATAATTATTGTAACTGGTAATTAAATAAACATTTAGCTAATTATTGAAGGAAAAAGCTAAGGGAAGTTTGTTTAAAAGTTGCATTTAATTTGCATATATCCTTAGAAAATATTGAATAAATGAGAGGAGTGAAAAATATAATCAAAGCATTTGATATTTTTATAACGTGTAATCTGTTGCAGAAAATCCATTCTCTTCATAAAAATTGCGCACTTTCAGCTATTTATTCAAAATTTCATTAGAAAAGTGAATTTTGCTTTCGATCAACACAATTTTTACAAACTGTATTCAGCAATTCTGGGATATGGAACAGGAAAAGTAAGTTAGTCGAATAAAAATAGAGCATATTGTACTGAGTACTTTTATGTATGCAATTTTAGTAAATGCATAAATTTTAGTAGTTTTTGCAGCAAATATTTTTATTTAGATTATCATCAAAAATCGAAAGTTTTCAAGCAGAAACTTTAGTATTAATGTCACTGACTTATATCACTTTGGTTATTATTATTTTACGTATTGCACTTACTCTTTTCCAATTTATGACCGATAGAGAAATTGATCGAGCTAAATTGGTGGTAAGAAATTACGTGAATTGAATCTAACATCTGATGCTACAAATATATCGAATTCAGAAATACCTTTAATTTTAGAGGAAACGATGTCTACCACTTCAAGAAGTAATAATCGTAAAACCGAAGAAAAAAGAAGAAAATTCTGAACAAAATGGTGGTTGTTCACCAAATTCATGCAAGTAAAATTCTGGTTCATGATATTATATTTTGCATGCATGGATAATTAATTTGATAAATATTTTGAGCCAATATTTTAAGACTTTTTAATAATTTGCCCTCATTGGATGAGGATATTGGAAATGATTTATCTGTCATGCATAAATATAATGGAAATAATTTATCAAATTTATCAGTCAACAACAAGTATGTTCGCAGCAGTACTCGACAAGGTCTTTATTTTTGATTATGTAAAATAAAATTCAAATATAATTACAACTGTTTACTGTTAATTAGTTGATATTTTTAAAGAGAAAAACTTTGCAAAATATCACTCTTAAAGCATATTATTGTAGCGTAACCTTTGACTTGACTTCATAGTCACCGGAATTCAATAGCAAAAATTGAAAATGAATAATATTTTAGTCTAATTAATATAATTAAGCATAAGACAATTTACAATGTACCTAAGAAAAGTTAACCTTTCCTTTCATAATGAATTATTTGTTGCTTAAAATGAGTAATATCGAAAACAAACTGTGTAGGATAAGAAAAAGATGGAAATAAGACTCTTCTAAGTTTTAAAAGCATGAAAATAAGACTAAGATTAAGACCATTCGATGTATTTATTAATGATACTATATCGCTTATAGACTGATAATTTTATGCTAGAAAATCTGTTAATCATAATATAAAGTATAATTACTTGAAAAATTAGGAAATAGATAGATAAAATTGATCAAAATACATTTAATTTGATACATGAATACTAAATAAGTATAGAAATGAATTATTTATTTTATTTTCAAATTATTCATATTTATTTATCATGTATTCTATAGTTTTGTTAACAATTATTTTATAAAAGTTATTGGCCAATGCAGTTTTTTTACTTTGTTTATAATCTGTTAATTCCTCTGAAATCAAAATTAAAATCTTGTTTGCGTTTATCATAAAATTTTTATTTGAAAATAATAACAGGCGCTAATATAAGCAAAAAAATTTGCAGCTAATCCTAAACAATCATCACTTTCTAAAAAATCTAACGCGAAAGTATCAGACGGTGGTATGTTAAAATTGCATTCTACTTAGTTAATAATACTGAAAAATTTACAATTTCTAATACAATTTACTATTTTTTTAATTATTTAAAAGGTAAGTTTCACAAGTTGCCAAGTAAAAATGCACAATTTTAATTATGTATAAAAAATTGTAAAATAATTTGCATAATACGGAAAGTTTAATACTTTAAACAATATGCATTTCAAAAATAACATGTATACTGAATGTAATATTTGTAAGTAATTTTATTTCAAAGTTTTGCATATTTGAAGATGAAGCATTCTGGGTGCATTCTTTCCGGGATACTGAACCAAGTCCTGAACATCCAAACATTCCATATACCTCATCATTTGGTATGCGAAAAATCGCAAAGAATACATACATTGAGTCAGTAATAATTTATTTATATTTGAAACCAAAAAATTTGATACTAAATTAAAAATTATTAATAAACAATTAAGACATAACTGCCAAATTATGACAGAGACAAGTAATTGTTGGAAATAAGCGAATTTAAATAGCAAGTATTTAGTTGTTGGGGTAATCTTTAATTGAAATAGAATTTATATGAGAAGTTTGGAATCTGTATCAAAAAATAGCCTTCAACACTGTTCTCATATTAATTGAAGGATATATGTTGAAAAAGTCTTAAAAAATTTATCTATTTTTAATTTTATCATCTAATTTATTAATCAAAAATTGCGATTTTTCAGAAACATTTAGCTTAAATTCTTCTTGTTTATTTATTAGTGATCATTAATTTTTGACAAATTTAATTTTTAATGATTGTTTTTAAATTTTTCAATTGAAAATATGCTTGATAAAGTGTTATCGTTCTCCTTTATTTCAGTGATACAAATATTGGATCACCAAAATCAAAAGCTTTAGAACAGCAATCTGCCGAAACCACGTGAATTTTTTTCACTTTTACGCAAAATTAATATGCTTCAGTAGGTTTTTTCAGAAATTTTACTTATATTTGCAAAGTTTACACTGAGTGAAAAAGTTTGATTATGGAAGCTCTAACCTATAATTGAAGAATTTTTTCAGGAAATCACTGGTGATATAATTTTTACAATTTTGGGAGATAATTTACAGAAGAAAAGACTAAAGTAATGTTCAACTGCATAGTCAACATAAGTGTTCTGCGATTGCATTCCATCTGTCTTCTGTAATTGTTATTTTTGAAAAATAAATCACTTTGAAGACTTTTCTCAAACAAATTCAATGGCAAGCTTATGTGTACAAAAATTACACTTTTTTCTGTCCCAAAAAATATCAAAATTAATTGTGAAGAATTAAAAATTATTCATTGTTGAACATTACAAGGAATAATACATCTCATTGTTTATTGCAATGAGCCTGCGATTTTGAACAAATAGCAAAATCTGAAATGAATTCGCAAATTTCTCAATCTAAAGCGATTCCAATAGTGTGTGGCATCCTTCGAAAGTGATACATTCAGTTACAATGTGTTATTTCAAGTGCAAACAACGAAGGCTCTGGTAATGATTACTATTTCTCAGTTTCGTTACAGTATTTTCTTGCGATCAGGTTGAGAAGAGGCCTGATGATATTTGATATGGAGGTATGATGAAGTTGCGAGCAATTTGAGGTGATTCAAAGTTGGTTTAGAAGGAGCAAACTTTCCAAGTTTTCGCTCGCTAGTTTCGTTTCTCTTTTTGAATTCCTATTCTCACTATAATAGAGAATAAAAAAAGGCATATATGAGTTAGTTTGGGCATGTAAGAAAAAATATTTTCTGAGGTAGTTGATTTCTCGCGTTCGCATTTCATTTTGTCAGCTTCGGAAACAAATAAGAATTTGTTGATGAGTTTTCTGTTTTTAGTTCTATGTTTCAGAATAGTCATTCAAATTTTATTTAAAGTTTGCTTCATTTTTTTAACAGGTTTTGGAATAGAAAATAGAAATTAACGAGGCGTTGAATAGAAAATTGACATATCCCTTACTTTAAGAAACACTTCATAAAAAACCACAAAAATGAATTTTTGTTCGAAGTTACTCTCACATAAAAGGTGAATCCCATCTATGTTGATATAAACAGCATGAATGATTTACCAGAAACAAGTTATTGGGGAAGAAAAAAGAACGCAAAATTCATTCAAGTACGTCAAATGTTAAGCAATATTCGCGCTAAAAAAACGTTTGGATGTGAGTTGCTTGTTCAGATGATTGGAAAGTTTTCCCGAACTATAAATTTATCCCAACAAGCACGCTAATATGATTTGAATTCGCAGCGCTTGCTGTTGTTCAGATTTTCAGAAGTCCAAAGCACTTTTAACTGTTCATATTCGTGTTTTTTATCGCGTATGTGTACGTTTGTGTTTCTTCAAAGTTGTGTATTGTGCGAAACATTTCTTACACGTATTGCATATGTACGGCTTTTCTCCGGTATGTATGCGCTTGCGTGTGTTTGAATTACATAAAACAGTGAATCCGTTCTCACATTTATCGCATATGTATGTCTTCTCACCAGTATGTATGCGGAAGTGCTGAGTTTAACTTTTCCTGCTCGTGAAATTCAAGCAAGTTTCACACTGGAACTGCTTTTCTCCAGCATGCACCCTTGCTTTGCACTCGGAAAAACTTTCCAATCATCTGAACAACTTTACTTAGTTTCTTCTAGGAACCAATACATTGAGATTGCTCAATACTGTCTTTACTTGTTAAATTTCCGTCTTTTTTTAATTT